AATGATAACAACTGTAAAATAAACTGGGTTATGGTCACAATTGTGTTTGCCAAAGTGGCAGTCTTCTAGAATGTCATTGACGAGTTTATCAGCTGCAGATAGACATTCATTGTTTCAGACAAGTCCATGTACTGTACGTGTTCTTGAGCAGAGGCGATCATCCTGTACATTCTGTTGAAGCTGTGCTGAACTGGTGAGTGCCACTCTGACTCAGCCGGTAGTGTTCAGGCTCCTCTGTAGTGTTCGCGTTGTGCCAGCAGATGGGGGAGGAAACATCTTCCTGGGATGGAGCTGAGCAGCAGCTTATTGTGAGCTGATGACGTCTGCACTGCAGGTACATGCTGTTCTCTCAGAGATTCAGAGAATAAACATGTTGTTGCTGTCACACAACATTTAAACATCATGCACCAAGAATTTTCAGACTCCACCTGAACATTGCAGGCATGTTGTTCTTTTTCTTTTGGCTGCTCCCCTCTACAAGGGTCATCACAGTCAGAAAACATAGAAGAGATGTGGCGAGTGTCGTTTGTCTGATGCCCCCTGAGACACAACCTGGGCCTGAACCTGCAGCCTCAGGGTTATAAGACTGCAGCAACAAGCACCAGGTCTCTGCAGCTCAAGCAGTTTACTTATACTGTAAACCTGTTTAAAAAAACTATCAAGTAAGTTTAGTTTATTTTAATGGCAGCAGAAATCTTTTAAAATCTTTGATGATGACACATCAAGTTAATTTAAATGGACTGTACTTATTTATCACCTTTTTGTCTCATCCAAATACTCAAAGTTCTTCATGTACACAGTCATCCAGCACTCTACTAGATGTGTACAAAGACTCATCAGAGCTTTATCACATTCATACATCTGAGCCAATATGGGGTTCAGTGCCTTGCCCAGGGACACTTAAACACGTGACTTCAGATGGAATCGAACCCCCAACTCTCCCACTGGAGGACGACTGCTCTAACCACTGAGCCACAGCCGCTCCCAAAAAGCATTCTTCAAGTTTTAAAAGTAAAGAAAAATGTTTTGGCCTCAGTTTTTTGGAATTTGTAAAAAATAAATTTAGTCTTTAATCTTTTCTTAAATTTTTGAAAAAGTATTTAGTTTATCCAAAATGATGTTGCCAGAATTTTAATAAGAGTTTATAGGATATATCATATCAATCAATCATTCAAGTTTATTTATAAAGCACATTTCAGCAACGAGGCAGTTCAAAGTGCTTTACATCATAAAAGCACAAAATTAAAATAAATAAAAACAACATACAGTCAGTGATTGAGAAACGAGTACCAAACATTATATTTTGTCAAGTCTCATCAAATATGTTGGTCAATGTTCCATTTATTGTAGTTTAAAAGCAACTCTGAACAGGAGTGCTTTAGACTTGATTCATCATCTCTCTCCAGTTTTAGTTTCCCTCCATTGGCTCCCTGTCAAGTCCAGAATAGAATTCAAAATCTTACTTCTAACCTACAAAGCCCTCAACAACCTAGCTCCATCTTATATTACAGATCTTATTGTTCCATATTTTCCT